GAGTTCAAGCATCCCTCAGGGAATTCCAACCTTCCTCTAAAAGATTTTAGGGCAACGTACAGTGGTCCTCAGAGTAATGCCCCCACCCAACATGGCCCACAGTTTACAGGCACCTGCAACTGGGCAGCTATAATACTCACCACTCCCAGCATATAGGCCTTTCACTTCCATCTCATGTCTGGATTTCCCAAGGAGGGGACAACCAGTTTTTACAGTTTAGTCCCATTCTGGCTGGCTCCTTTTCACTGTTTATGTTCTGCTTTATGTATCTCCTCCTCAGCCACACCTTCCCCCAAGCAGCCTTCTAAACTTTGGTTCTCTGTCATTCTCTACCTCAGCCTCTTGTCTTTTACCTTCATAGTAACTCTCTCTGGCAGGTATTTTATGGAGGTCTGCTTGCTCCTCTCTTCTGTTTGGTTCAGCACTCAAAGCACAGAATTAAGTGTGTGACAAAATCTGAACTCATGTAATCCTCATGTATGCTACACTGGGCCCCCCGTGAGAACACCTCCTGCCGAGTGAGGAGACAGCCTTTATGCAGGGGACAAGTGTGGCACAATTCCCCTGAACAGGCAAGCGTATTACTTCCCCCTGATGTGCCACAAGCAGTCACCACTCTGAGGCTGTACTCCGTACCTCACCACATTCCCTTCACCAGCCCAAGCTCCAAATTAGCCTGGGAGTGATGGCCACCTAACAGGCAGGTGCTGCATATCACATTCCTGCAGCACAGACACCCCCTCCACCCGCCCTTCTCCCCCACCACACAGCTTCCCAAATCCTCTGGTCTATCAGAGTGCTGCTTCACAAAGGGCGGAATCAGAAGTGGTGGGTGACAGACAGAATAAGAGTTTAGGTGACATACTGAAGAATGTATTTTTAATAGCTATGTTTAATTTCAACCAGAAAACTAGCAAATCAAAAACACAATTTCAGACACCATACAATGACACAAAACATAATTAACTACAGTAGGCCCATTCAAAGAAAATGAGTAAGCAAACAGCACAGGTAGTGCATGGGGTGAAGGTGGGGTGTAGATGGCTTATGCCTGGGGAACACTGCTGGTCCACACGATCAAGGAGCCCTCAGCAGGGCAAAGGTCAGGGTGAGGCTGTATGGAGAGTTGCATTCATTCAAGTGCCCCTCTTTCCACAAGCATGTTGGGGGTGAGACGTCCTCCCGCCACCTCAGCTTCTCTAGGCACTCAGTCAACAGAACAGGTCTTTCTGCTACTTCTTTTAAAACATAATGATTTGCTACGCATTGCTACAATATCACCATAAACTCTAAGTGCTTTAAATGAATGAGTTTGCAAGTGGTAAGGACCAGAGCACCTTAGATCTGGCACAACCAAGTAGAGAGTTTGAATCTTATTCTAAATGCAATAAGAAGCCACTGAAGGCTTAATAAGAGAAGCATTAGGATTTTATTTACCTGGTTGCTGGGGTGGTGGCTAATTTAGGAGGTTGCAAGAATTCAAATTCTTAGAAAGCTAATCCAGGAGGCTTGGGCCCAGGAGGTGGCTGTGACAATGGAGAGGAACAATGGGATAGACATAATGTCTAGCACTATGCTATGCAAACATTCTCTCAACAAACGTGTACTAAGCCACTCCAGGGCTCTGGAGTTTTCTGGGTAAACAAAATACAACCCTAGCCTCGTGGAACTTACTTGTGGAGCAAAGGGGCAACAGAAAAAAATCAATAAAAACTCAGGTAGTAATAAGTGTGCTGTTGAAAGTAAAACAGGGAAAGGTGACTAGGGGACCACTTAGGGGGTTAGGATGGGCCACTAGGATGAGATAACAAACTTCATGACAACTTGCACTTGTCATCAATGAATGATACCCACTTAACATCATTACCATTGATACAAAACCAAGTATTGGGTAAAGGCTTTGTGATCAAAACTGCCTAAATGTCCCAATATTCTTCCTTAATTTAATTAACTCTCTAAGAGGATCACACACCTGGATGCCCATTTTAAAAACAGGTGAGCCACATAGCTGCCTCTTACACTTTCCATCTAACTTGTTTCCTTCTTTGTAAGGTGAGTGGTTTCTGAGGCTACAAGAAAATATGGGGTGCCTCCAACAAACACTGAAACACCTCATCACTCTAACACAATCTAGCTGGGACACTAGGAGACAGACATAAGGTTTATTTTTACCTGTTCTCAACCTGTAACTTCAAGTAACTTCAGTTACCAGTAAGCCATAAACTGCTGAAGCATAATGCACACTACAGGTGATTGACTATCCTTAGCACAAACCAGCACTGAATCCAGCTGGAGGCTGAGTCAACAGAAAAAGTCTCCTGAGAGAGACAATGGAGATTCCAGGCAGCATAAAACATGTTTGTGTTCTAACCCTTGTTTGTAGCTTCTATCTCAAAGGTACTAAGTACCCACTCGAGTTTGTCTGCTAGGCTGAAGACAGAATTTTATGTGCCATGGCCTAAAGTAGCCTCCAACAGCAGGCTCATTTTATGAATACTGCAAGAAACAAACTGCAGTCTCAAAAACAAAGTTACCTTTCAGAGCAGTCCTGTCCTCCCTCCCACAGTACAGTGTAACTGGTTCATGCCTAACAACTCCAAATTACACAACTTTCTTATTACAGAGGGGTACATTTTGCAACAAAATTTCACATTGATGGTTCATTGGGAAGTAATGTGTGCACACACCCCATCCTGAAAATTTCCTCTGACCCCAGCTCAGTGTGCAGAAACTCCTGCTTTGAAAATGGAAGAGGCCCACATCTTCTTGGCCCTATGCTGTGGCAGAAAACTGAGGCTTTCACAGTTCTCCTGTTTCTAAAAGTGTTAAAGTGTGGAGCTAAAACTACTTTTTAAGAATATTCCAACCCCGCCCACAGGAAAGCTCCATGTCAGAAGCCATGTTTGTTTTGTTCATCATCTTATGCCAGCACCAAGCTCAGAGCCTGGCATAAAGACCACATAATAAAAATGTGTGCGAGAAGGGGGGCTGCGTGGCTTAGTCAGCTGAGTGTCTGACTCTCCATTTCAATTCTGGTTGTGATCCTAGGGCTGTGGGATCAATCCCTGTGTCAGGCTATGCACTGAACATGGAGCCTGCTGAAGATTCATATTCACTCTCTGCCCCTCCCGCACTCTCTCTCACATAAAATAATAATAATAAAAATAAAATGTTTAACTCAACCAGACAGGCCATCTGGATTTGCATCTTCTTACTTTTCTCAGTGCTTAAACATTGGGCAGCACCTTCAAAAGTAGTAGGGCAAAACTGGCCATCTCACTCAGACAGTAATGATCTACCACTGTACAGTTCTACTGACTCCTTCATTCCCAGCTGAATAAATAGCAGAAGAAGAGAAATGGAGGTTGGAACAAGAATGATTCACTGAAAAGTATTTATCTGAGGTGACCGAAGCCTGTGCCCTGAATGACTGTTCTAGGGGGAGGTCAGGTCAGGAATGCGCCGAGGAGTTCTCTAAATGGCCTTCAATATCACACTGAGCATTATGGAGTGTTCTTCTTATGCATGATTAAGTGGATGAATGATATATGGCGAGATCAGAAATATGCCTAAGAACAGACTGTTTCAAAGGATTTGCTAGATTCTACTTTTACTTTAAAAAGGGGGGTGATACAAGTGAGAATAGCTATATAGTTTGTAAATTAAAATGGCACATACTGTGTTTATTTCTGAGGACTTAGGAGGCCTGGCACAGCAGGACAGGATCTGTCACATTGTTCAGATCTACCTGTGAGGGTCTGGTGTCAGTGTTTGGTCTGCTGAAACAGACATGGGGAGAGGCCCATCCCGGCAAGGAGCCTGCATGGACATACTGCATGGACAACAGGTTGGCCAGAGCCCATGTCTGGGCCAAGATGAGCAGTGCATGCAAACAAGGTTACTCTGAGTGTGACACTGTCTGCTGGCTCCTGGGTCACCCCACAGCAGCTGACATGCTCCTGACAGGCTGGTTGAGTGACTAGACCACAGGTGTATCAGGTGCTGCTGGATGGCCAATTCACACCCTGTCAGCCCTCATTTTCCTAGCCACTTTCCAGCCCGAGGTGGCTTTGTGATCCAGTTCTGGGCAGTGAAATGTAAGCACATGTCAGGCAGCTGGCTAGGACTTCTGGGAAAGCACCTTCCTGCTGAAAAGGGTCACTCTCAGCTGACAGACCCCTCCATCCTTCATTATTTTTCTCATTGCTGCCAAGGCCACAGCTGTGGTACCTAGAGGTCCAGCTCCCATCTTGAGGCCATGAGGTATTAAAAAGCATAAGGATGACAATGTGCTAAGGAAGGTGGCACAGAGAGGACAGAAAATGCCTGAATCACTGGCAACATCTGTGAACAACTGCATCAGCCTTGGACCACCTATCTCCAGACACACTTAGAAGCACATAAATCCATAATTATTTAAGTCACCAGAGTGGGCTTTTTGTTAAGGTCAAATGTGCTCCTAATTGAGGGGGCAGATTCTCTGGACTCTGTGAGATTTGTTTTTTGTTTTTTGTTTTTTAATATTTTTATTTATTTCTAGGAGAGAGAGAGAGAGAGAGAATGAGACAGCGTGAGCAGGGGAGGGTCAGAGAGAGAGGGAGTCACAGACTGAAAAAGGCTCCAGGCTCTGAGCTGGCAGTCAGCACAGAGCCTGACGCGGGGCTCGAACCCACGAACCGTGAGATCATGACCTAAGCAAAAGTCGGACGTTTAACCGACTAAGCCACCCAGGCGCCCCTGTGAGATTTGTTTTTAACCTGAGAGTAAATGATTCCTACTAGAAAAAACAGAGTTTTCTCCTATTAGTCACTAACCGCAACACACATTTAGAACTGCCTCGCTAGAAACACGTAACTGCCACACACTTCGTTGTATGGTCCTGGAGCAGACTGAAGAATGGTATAAATAACTTTGCATCTTGAAAAGAAGAATATAATAACATGCAAGCTTGAAGAAACCAAACCCCAAACCATGAAAATAACAGACTTCTGGCACTCTACCTTAGAAATGTTACTTGAATGACTCATGGAATGTCCCAAAGTCTTCTCATTCTGCAAGAAAAGCAAACAGGTGTTAAGTATCAAGAAAATGAAATAGGTGATTAAAATGTGCACAGAACAAGTAATTAATGATAACAATCCTACTGACAATCATTCCCTCAACTAGAATTTGCTGAGCATAAACTACTATGTACCAGCAAAAATGAATAAAACAGTAGTCCCTGCCCTAAAGGAACTTAAGTTACTAAGAACATGAATTTGGAATTAAGTAAAAATAAGAGGGCTACACGTGTCTTAAGACACATTCAAACGGAGGTTCAGAGGCAAGAAACTGCACATTCATAGTTTAATGTGATGTGGTCCATGCTATGAGGAGCCACTGTAGGATGAGGAAGAAGAAAGGAGGACAGCTGACCCCACCCAGGTCATCGGGCTGGGACATCCCACCACTCACATCTGTTCCCTCAAGATTAGAGAAATCTGAGAGTCATGCTAGCCTCCTCCACCTTTAGTCACAAAGTCTTATAACAAATTCTTCCTCTGTAGTATCTCTCAGTCTCCAACCTCATTTGCATTTCTCTGTCAGTGCCTTAGGTTTAGGTTCTCTTCATTTCTCACTTGGAATTCTTGAATAACCTCCTACCTTACCTTTCTGCTTTAAAAGTGACCTCCCTGATATGTCACTGCTATGGACTGGACTGTATTGTGTCCCCCCAAATTCCTATGTTGAAGTTCTAACCCCTAGTACTCAGAATGTGAGTGTCTTTGGAGATAGGGTCTTTAAAAATGTAATTATGTTAAAATGAGGTAACCAGGGTGGGACCTGACCCAATATTAATGTTATTCTTGTAAAGAAGCTGAAATTAGGATACAGGTACATACAGAGAACAGCATGTGAAAACACGGGAGGATGCAGGCGCATCCATCTGCAAGCCAAGGAGAGAGGCCTCAGATGACACTAAACCAGCTGACAGGCAGGTTAATTTTGGACTTCTAGCCTCTAGAACTGTGAGAAAATTAAGTCCTGTTACTTAAGCACCCACTCTTAAGTGGTGACTTTGTTATAGCAGCCATAGCAAATGAATACAGTCATCTTCCACACTATAACTTTCTTAAAAAAAAAATTAGTGAATGTTCCAAATGTAAATCTGATTTTCTAAAAATAAGAAAGTAACTCTTCCTGAACCCAACTGGTCTTGCTCTAAACCCAAATGAGTAAAAAACAAAACAAAAATCTATTACCGAAGGAAGATATTATCTCATTTGTATTTTTAAGATTACCTATTCTCTATTCATCTCACATTTCACAATAACCACAGGGAAGACTAGAAAAGGCTGAGACACAATTAGCAGGTAAAATTCTTTTGGTCCGTCAGAAGTACAAAAGAGCCAGTAGACTGAAAACTGCTTTGAAAAAGAGTTGATTCCATTCCACCAAGGCTCTGCTAAAAGAGAACTAGCAATCAGGAAAGTTTTAACTTCCCTCTTTTCCTCAACCCACCAAATTACATACTGCCTTGACTTTGGTATACACTTGGCTTTTGAACACTCGACATCCCTAATATGTTAGTGAAGAAACATTTCAAGAGCTCCCAAGTGGCCTGCCAGCTGGCACTTGTTTTAACAATGTTGTCTTGTCTTCACAGCAATGTGTCTGTGCAATTTTTTTTGAATATTTTCCTTATATTCTTTTCTTATTTTATAAATCTGAGTGAAAATAAAAGTTCAAATCTCTTAAGCATAATATAATACAGCCACTGTTATTAAGTGTATAGCCTCAATGGAATGTTTCTTGGTCTTAAGCGAGTCAATTAGATAGTTATAAAGGAAAAGAACAAAATTATAAACTATGCTCAACGTGTTGGCAATGTCACCAAACACTATTTCTAAAAGACCAGCTGGATTAGGAATTTCATTCATTCATCTTATTCCTGCATTCACTAGCTGGGAATAGAGAGCCTCTCTGTCCACAAAACAGGTAAATCTGTAACTATTCAAGTTTCATTCATGAATCAGGAATGTACTATGGACAAACACAGGGCACTGCTGTGAGTCCAGGCTTATAGGCTGGTAATTTGCCACTAAATTTTAATTTAGTTTTGCTAAACTAAAACAAAGATGCCATATGTCCTGGATTATCTGTACAGAAAACCATTATAACTGCTATGACATTACCCACTGCCTTACAAGAAATGACCAGTTTAACACTACCTGGAAATCTACAAAGAAGTTCTGAAGTACTAAGAGAAGCAGTAATTCCTATCCCTAACTTTTCTGACATTTATTATTTCATAGAGAGGGTTATTAGGGTGGGGAGAGGTCTCACTGTTAAGCTAGGTAACTTTATAAATCCAGACTGAGATTGAAAAGTTGCTTATTACCTTATGAACTTGAGAAATAAATTTAATGATATAAGCCTGTGCCTAGTTTTCCTTGTTACAACAATCCAACTAACTTGAATTTAAATAAATATTTTTTAAAAGGCTTATAAAAAACTTTTAAAAAAAGAACAATTCAATATTTTACATTGGTAAAAAATCAAACAAATTAACAAGCCCCAGAAGTTACAGATGTTTTAAACACTGAAACCTGTCAATGCCTGCTTCCCCACTGCCTGGCAGGAGATTAACAATTCAGTTCCAACAGACCATTTTAATTTCCCTTAAATGCTGCTACATTTATTCAGACTTACTGAAAATCTACAAAGTTCAGGAGCATACAGAACTATTTTTCAGGAAGCAAATCCCAGGATTCATTCAAACCAGTGACTCATTCATTCCATACTTATTTACCACGCGACCACCACATGCAAGCAACCATACTAGGCACCAAACATGGACAAATATAAATCTAGCTCCTAGGCCTGTTCTAATTATGATGTCACCACAGAACTGCTTTGAAATTGTGGTTTGATGAGAAATATACAACAAGGGGGGGAAATGAACAAAAACATTTTTAAGAATGTTAAAAAGCACATACATGAGTTATAGCAGGGTACATTGGGTGATACCATTCTCTCCTACAGTCACATTGGTACACTTCTGAATAAAAAGAAGTAAAATTTATCAAACATCAATGTCAAGAACTGGAATTCGGCATACCAAAAAGAAAAAGAGTTCCATTCTAGTTTAAGCCAAGACTAAGCTTCAACGTCCAAGTGATACAAACTTTAGCGAATTATTTTTATAAATCTTTAATATGGTTAGTCACTGCTTAATGGGTCCACCACATGGTAATCCTGGGAGAGATAAAAGCCTCACTGCTGGCAGCAAAAACTGTCACCTTCTCTCCTCCGAGAAGGCACCAGGAGATGCCACACTGTGATACCACATACTCCCCTGGCTTGCTCTCCTCTCCATGCATCTTTGGTGGGCTCTTTTTGTCTACATTAAACAAGAGCTCCTCAGAACACAATTCCATGACCTCTTCTCATTTGTTATCTCCCTTAGGCCAGTGCTTCTGAAACTTTGTGCACTTGAATCATTTAAGGACCTTAGTAAAATGCAAACTGTGATTTGTTAGGTTTGAGGTAGGTTGGGATTCTGCATTTTCATAAGCTCCCAGGTGACTCCCATGCTATTGGTCCCCAGACTATACTTTCAGACACAAATTTCACTGCAAATCCTGGGCCAGTATAATCCATAAAGGCTATGATTCATGTTTTTAATTGAGGTATAAGTTAATATGACTCATTTTTTAAAAAGCAAACCATGACTCATATAAAAGTAAATTTCTGCATAAAAGATGGCAGTGAGTTCACAACTGAGTTAATACAAATAAATCAATCAGGAAACCAACTGATACATGCACCGGGAACAGAGTCTGAGGGTGTGAGAAAGAGAAGTTTTATTAATATGTTACCAAATCACAAAGATAAAGAGAAGTTCTGTTGAAGAATAAGGGACATTTCACAATTTAATCAGTCCTGTCAATGGCATTTTGCAAGTCCATGTGTGGCTCCAACAGAAAGTACCTTGTGGGCAGGACACAAATGCAGAGCCACAAAGACCAAATACCCTCTAGAAAGTAGAAGCCAAGAATTAACAAGAATACAATGAGGTGAGATGTCTAAGCGAGTTTTAAGGATTTTGTATAAAGGAGTCAAACAATTAAACTTCATGTGGGAGTTTCCCTGAAACTCTGACCTGGACCAGTCATTAAAAACACAAGAAACAAACAAGCAAAAAAACAAAACAAAAACACTCTGTGTGACAGATATACTATGTATCCCTACCAACAGAACAAATTTGTTCTGAGCAGGAATGGACCCAACTAAAAGCTTTCACTTTCTTACTTTCTTTTGCAGTTAAGGCTAAATATGTAAGAAAGTTCTCCCTAAAGACATTAAACTTGAGGTTTTCTGGGAGAACATTCTGCTTTCCTGATACAGCCATTGCTCCTTTCTACAGTACTCCTCCTTTCCTCAGTCCCCTGGAATAAAGGTGGCATGCTGGGAGGTGCAGCAATCACTGTGGGGCAGTGAGGAGGAAAGCATACACACAGGTCTCCAACTTTTTAGTCTTAGGACACTTTTACAATGTAGATTACTGAACACTCCCTATATTTCGTGTATATGGGTTATATATATCAATATTTTCCACTCATTACAAATTAAAACAGGGGTACCTGGGTGGCTCAGTTGCTTAAGCATCTGACTCTTGATCTGGGCTCAGGTCATGAGTCTCACAGTTCACAGGATCAAGCCCCATGTCAGGTTCCACACTAACAGCACAGAGCCTGCCTAGGATTCTCTCCTGTCCTCCCTCCCCACTTCCCAATCCCACTAGTGAGCTCTTTATCTCTCAAAATAAAATAAACTTTAAAAAAAGAGAAAATGTTTACAATATGAATCTCTTAATTCAATTAGAATAATAAGCCCAGTTAATATAAATAACATTTCCATGAAAATAACTATTTTTCGGGGCGCCTGGGTGGCTTAGTCGGTTAAGCGTCCGACTTTCGCTTAGGTCATGATCACGCGGTTCATGGGTTCAAGCCCTGCATCAGGCTCTGTGCTGACTGCCAGCTCAGAGCCTGGAGCCTGTTTCAGT